TTTCTGGTTTGGGATTTGGGGCTATGTACATACAGTACTCTATCCCCCTCTTCTACTTTTGGGTTCTTCCAATCTGTAGTCTGGATACTGTTATCACTTCAATTCATAATTTGATGTCAAGGAATAGACCCCACTTTCTGCTAGGATCCCTGACCCCTGAATTTTTCTGCTGATGACCTAACATGGAATTTGACCTTTATCCTTTCTCTGTCTCTTTATCCTTCCACAAAACCTACCTGGGAATTGGACTTGGTATACTAATGCCCTCCAGTACCAGATGACTTAATAAAATTAATGCAAAGTTATTTACTGAAATGTGATAGGAAGAACAGCAACATAACAAACAAACCCAATGCAACCAAGATTAGAAGGGAAGCAGAAAGCTGGGAAACAATTTTTACAGCCAGTGTCCCTGAAAAAAGCCTCATTTCTAAAAAAAAAAAAATAGAGAGAACTGAGTCAACTTTATAAGAATAGAAGTTATTCCCCAATTGATAAATGGTCAAAGGATAGGAGAAGGCAATTTTTAGAGGAATAAATTAAAGCTATCTATATTCATATGAAAAAATGCTCTAAATCACTATCGGTTAGAAAAATGGAATTTAAAATAACTCTGAGGTACCACATCATATCCATCAAAACATGACAAAACAGGAAAATGATAAATGTTGGAGATGTGGGAAAACTGAAACACTAATGCATTGTTGGTGGAGTTGTGAACTGATCAAACCAATCTGGAGAGCATTTTGGAACTATGCCTAAAGGTCTATAAAACTGTGCATACCCTTTGTTCCCACAATACCACTACTAGGTCTGTATCCCAAAGAGATCATGAAAAAGAGAAAAAGACCCACATGTACAAAAAAATGTTTATAGCAACTCTTTTTGTGGCAGCAAACAATTGGAAATTCAGGGGATGCTCATCAGTTGGGGAATGGTTGAACAAGTTGTGGTATTTGAATGTAATGGAATACTATTGTTCCATAATAAATGATGAGCAGGTAGACTTTAGAGAAGCCTGGAAAGACCTACATGAACTAATGCAGTGTTAAGTGAGTGGAACCAAGAGAATATTGTACACAGTAACAGCAACATTGTGAAATAATCAAGTTTCATAGACTTAGCTCTTCTCAGCAGTGTAATGGTATAAGAAAAACCAAAGACTCATGATGGAAAATGCTGCTCACTTCCAGAGAAAGAACTATGTAGTCTGACTGCAGATTGAAACACACTATTTTCTCTTTCTTTTTTTCCTTTCTCCTGGTTTTTTTCTTTTTGTTCTGATTCTTCTTTCACAGTGTGACTAATGTGGAAATGTTTAATATAATTGTACATTTGTAGTCTATATCAGATTGCATACCATTTTGGGGAGGAGAGAGGAGAAAGAGGGGAAAAATTTAGAACTCAAGATCTTATAAAAGTGGATGTTAGAAACTAAAAATAAAAGAAGAGGAAGAGTAGCATCAAAACAAAATCTCTCTTGAGAATATTGCATGTACTCTCTCTCTCATCGTCTCATACAGCATCAGCAGTAAAAGTGGAAATAGAGTTTACAAATGGGAAGGCACACATGTGGCCAAAGCAACTTACACCTCTAGCATTGCAGTCCCCCGTCCCCCTTATGGAAATCAAGCCTTGTCTTTGCCTGAGAAGTCATTCTGCTGAGCCTTCCAAGTAGAGAGTAGAGTAAATGGCTCATGGTTGGCTGTCTTCACCATCACCAGCTTCAAGTTCAGATACATTCCTGATCCTAGGGTCCAATACACTCTTTTAGAAAGAGATGCAATAAGTAACCTAGGGTTAACAGATATCTCAGCTCTGGGTCCTGCCATGTTCCAAAAAGTATCTCAGCTCCAGGTGTCAGAATTTGAACTCCTCCCACCAATTTACAACTCCACATTCAGATTTTATCCATTGTTTTCTGCCATGTGTCTCTACTAGAAAACTTCATGATTGAAGGGAGGAGGAGAGGTATATGGTGGGAAAAAATTCTGTATCATTACATGCTCCCATTTTCCCAAAAACACAAAGGAAAAAGGTAAAGTGAACACTTATGTTCTGATTCTTGTTTTTAAAATGCCACTAGGGACCAAAGAAGTGGCTGATCCTTTAGATAACCAATCACTAGAAGTTTTCTGTGTCCCATAAGTTGCCTTTATCCAGTGACTAGAATGATAAAATTCTACAAGATTTATTCAGTAAACTTTTCAGACTTTGATCTCAGATTTTGTATAGGTAGCTCCTTTAAATTCTATTGCTGAGATGTTTAAGAAAATTCCTAAATGCCTATTTTGCATGCAGACAGCACAGAAGACTCAAAGGTATAGGACAGCTGTTTTTTTTTTTCTAATACCAACACATCATAATGCAAGACACACATAAACCAATACAAAACAATTTTTAATGCCTAAAAAGCCCATTATTCTGCCAAAGAAAGTGAAGATTCTTTATAAGACTACTGAACAGGCATTTCTTTTTGATCTTGGACCTTCATATTATGAAAAGATCAAGGAAATTATCAGAGTATCTAATGTAATTCCCAGCCAGGGAATGTATATAGCTATAGGATTGTGATGCTATTGGTGGGTCTTCTCTGAGAAGCATGATGTTAAGTAAACCCTCTTCCCCTGGATAGCCAACAAGAAAACAAACGTAACTTCAATATCTTTAATCTTAGAGAACATGGACCATTTAATTTAGGCCCAGAATCAATAAAGTATTATATTATACAAAACTATCTTTTAATAAAGGCCAAAATATATTTGGCATACAAAAAAGTAAACATGTGTATGCCTACCATGGAATACACTGATGTACACTCTGCCCTAAGATAGGTAATTAATTCAGTTTCCTAAGTTGTTATCAGCCAATTAAAGATTTAGGCCTGCACAGGATTTGGGGTACTTACCTTTGAAATCTTAGAAGGTCTATAGTTTTGTCTGAAGCTAACCACTCTTCTTCTGGGTAGCTCTTTTACCTCATATTTACCAGAAAAAAATAAAAGAAAGAAAAGATCAACATAGTGGTGGGAAGGCTGGGAGACTACTGTGTTGAGCTAGAGCTCTAACCTAGACTCTGTGTACAGTACAGGGTCTTGATCGGTGGCAGCTGTTGGGCTGATGTATAGCAAATGACTTGTTGGTGCAATGGATCATCAGAGCCCCATTGTGCTGGTGACATGCTGCTGTAATACATCATCAGAGCAGTGCCCAGCAGGATCAGGAGTACTGGAAACTAACCAATGTAATAAATTTTTATTATAGCCAAATACAAGAACTGTAATTTTATTTTTCTTCTAAATTAAAAGTTGGGAATTTTGGCAGTATATCACTTCTTGAAAGACTGCTTTGTCCCACCTTGCCTAGTCTTCAGTCACTTATTATTAAACTATTTAAGTAAACCATCATTAAGGATAAGGATAGAGACTGAATCTATGATTTCATTGATACAAGGAACTCCCAAATGAGGAAACTCCCTCTGTCAATCTCATCAGCTAGAGTCTTAGAAAGCTATCTAGGGCACCAAGAAATTAGAGTCATGCAAAGTCTGCACCAAGCATATTTCAGAGTCAGTCAGAGCCTGAACCTGTCTTCTTGTCTTTAAGGCCGGCTTCCTCATTCTAAACTAACATTATTGATTCTAAATGAAGATGATCATACAAACCAATTTTTTTTTCCAAGAACAATTTTGGTTGTTGGCTGAGTGGGCAAATATCCTGGAAAAGTCCTAGGCAGAATCCGTTGTGGGGCAGGATGCATGTACCTGTAGATAAAACTGTGAAATGCTGTGCCTTGCTTTGTAAATAAACATAAACTAAGCTGATGAGGATGCCTTGTGGATAACCAAGAGGAATGCACTGTGTTTGGCAGTTTGTCTGTGGTTTGGAGCGAAACAATCATAACTCTGGCAATAAATTCTAGTCATTTCTAGCAATTTTTTCCGGTGTGTCCATGATTGCACTTGTGTGTGTGTGTGTGTGTGTGTGTGTGTGTGTGTGTGTGTGTGTATGTGTATGTTTTGGGATGAGACACAGGAAGGAGAGAAATGCAGAGAAGGTTGAAGAGACCCCTTGTCCAGGAATCCTGTTATTCTTTCCTCTCCCCTGTCACTACAGTCTCCTAATTTAGTTTGTGGTCTATGGACCACAAGAATAAGGGAGCTAACTCCTCTCATCTTTTGTTTACTAACTGTAATTTCTTTGACTCTGGCTCTATTCTCTTAGGGCCAGCTCTGATTCATTTTATTCTTCACAGAATTTTCTAGTGTTTTGAATAGTTGGGATAGATTTCTCCGCACACTGTCCCCCACTATCAGCATCAAATCCAAAGGGCTGCATTCTCCTCCACTGCCCTACTTCTGTCCTTCCCCCTTCCTTACCATTTCTTCATTTTGAGGGGCCCAGTGATTGGTACCTAGATTCTATTTAACTACCTAATACTAAATTTATTTTTTTCAAAAGTATGCTTAGATAAAAAATACAAGAACAAGCATTTGTATAATTCTCCCAATACCCTGGGGACATAATCCCCTCACCACGTATACTACCCTTATTTCTGAGAAGGGGAATAGAGAGATTTGGGTTCACAATTCAGCTCAGTTCCTACATAACATTAGTTTTACCAAGTTTTAGTACAAAGCCCAGCTGGTCTTGTGTCCCCAGACCTTCACATCTTAGATCTTCCCTGCTAGACTGGATGAAACATGTGGCATATATGCCTCTACTCCTGGAAACATATGACTCACAGTCCTGAGCCAGATTAAAGAATCTAATTCCTGTTCCTAGAATGGAAAACGAAGAAGCAAAGGGCTAAAATCCCACGACCATTTTTCAAGGCTGTATGGCCTAAACAGGGAAAAGAAAGGAGATTAAATACGGGGAAGATCAGATGGTGCGAATAAAGGAATCATCCCCCCTCAACATAGTGTTCGTTTAAGACTATCAACAATCGATTTGACAAAGGATGCTTCCATCATAGAATTTTCATGTATGCTCCAGTCTTCTCATATCCTGGAAGCAGGTGTCTTAGCATCGTCCACACGAGTGATGCCATCTTAGATGATTTAGGTAAGCGCCAAACCTCCATTACTTAATCATCAGCTAATTCAACTGGGCCCTCATAGCTAAAGAACAGTCTCATAGGTGTTATTTTCTCTGCTGTGTCTGTTATCCCTGGTGCTACATTGGCTTATTTTCTTATCATCACACTTTGATTAGGAGATCTACTGTGAGCTACAATGATTTGGCATGACCCAACACAATCACTAGATGATTGAGATCTGAAACTCAGAACTTCTGACAAGAGAGAAAAAGTGAAGGATTTTTGCCTTTTGTCTTCTTCTACATTTTCTCTTTAATCTTTTTTATTTTAATAATTCTTGGAAGAGTGTATTTTTTTTTACTTTTTCCCCACCTACTACTGCCTATGCCAGAAAGATTATTCAGTAAAAATCCTTAAAATAGTTAAATGGTAGAAGGTATTTAGGACTTTCCCACCATGGTGGTGTTATGTGGTAGAATTAGGATTCTCCCATTTTCTTTAATGGAGATTAATGTTTCCTAAAAGGTAACAAAACTTTCCTTGGGACTTGATTGTCCCCTGCCTTTCTGGATGTAGTTTTCTGGTCACCTGAGTCCATAAAAAATCCAATCCAGGTAGAATAGAGGTTTCTCTGACTTGATGAATTTCTGAAGAGCACATGAGTCTCCATATACTGCACTAATGACCTTCCACATGGAGATGAGGGGTAAAGGAAATGTAACCTGAGAAATTAAATGCCACCGTCTCCTTATTGAATATCTTTGCTATATTAGGGCAAAATAAATCTTTTGTTAAGAGTTCAATGACTTTTGAATGCCTCATTTTTTCCTAACATTGAACCCCTAAGAATCCTTATCTGTTTTTATCTCTCTTTGACTTTCGAAGATACTAATTTGCCCCTCTCCTCCCTCTTCCTTTGGCTTCTGTGACTCTGATTTCTTGTTTTGCACCCACCTGTCTGTTTTTCCTCAGTTTCCTTTCATGGTTTGTCACACATCACCTACTCAATAAAGACAGATGTCCCCCAAGACTTTGTCCTGGGACTTTTCTGCTCTACTTTTCTTCTAGTGTTATCATTAGCACCCACGGATTTAAGTAAAATCCTTATATAGCTAACACCAAAATCTATGTGTTCAACCTGATTTTTAATATATATCACCAACCAATAGCTAGACACCTCTAACTAGAATAATTCCAATTCAGCATGTCCAAATGCATACTCATCTACTCCCCACTATAAATGCACCACCAAACAGCCCTACCAGTCTTCCATATTTTCCTGTTTTTGTTGAAGACTTTGCCAGGCTTCCAGGCAACTAGACCTTTGAATCAATCAATCAATAAGCATTTATTAAACACTTACTGTATGTCAAACACTGTGCTAGGTAAAGGTGATACAAAGCCAAAAGTGGAACAGTCTTTGATATTGAGGACTTAGAGTCTCTTAACAATGTGTGAGGTAAGGAGTGGGATCCCAGGTCCATCCAAGGACAGGTCATTCTTTCTTATATGACTCCTAGAGTACTCCCGCATATCCTCTCATACAAATAACAAAGGGACACAAGGAAATGCGTGGGACAGGCTCAAATACAGATGTTTGTGAGCAAGAAGATTAGACCAGTCAGATACACTGTACTCAGTTTGGGCCAGATTAGATTAGTCAGATATGTCATACCCAGCTTGGGCCAAGGGTTGGGGTGATGGTAAAGATGCCTAGCTACAGACAGACAGACAGACAGACAACACACACACACACACACACACACACACACACACACACACACACCATTTCTCTCTACTTGTCCCTTATAATTTTCATTTCTCTTGAGTTTAAGGATGGGAATTACATTGTAGAAATCACTGCCACCAGCCTCTGTGTTTGTGCTGCCACTGTAAGTATGTGTATTTATCTATGCATGGGTGTGTGGGGGAGAGGGTATAGATTTGTGGATGTATGCAGTGGGGCAGCAGGATAGGAGTGGTGGGAGGCAGAGAAGAGAGTCTTATCACGTCCCTCCTTTCTTCTTGTCCTGTCCTGAGAGATTCTCAGTTCTAAAGCAATAAGGGTAAAACTATCCCTAGCAATCCTGATCTCACATTAGCTTACAAAATTTCCATGCTAGGAAGAAATAATGCTGTGATGGTCCATTTTGACTTAGCCCCCTCCCTTTCAAGGTGACCAGCCCAAGCCTTACTGGAAAGGCTGTTATGCACATATAAGTATACTCAAAACATGTACATGTACACACATAATTATGTAGACTGAAAATACAAAAGCAATATATAATGTACAAAAAATCAATATCTTTTTATATGTTGTCTTCCTCCATTAGGATATAACATCCTGGAGCATAAGAACTACCTTTCTTTTTGCTTGTATTTGCTGTTGCAGAGCTTAACATGGTACCGGGCACATAGTAAGCATTTTAATGCTTTACTTATCTATGTAACTATATATTTATGTACGTGTATGTGTGTATGCAAGTGTGTATGTATGTATGTATATATGTATGTATGTATGTATGTATGTATCTATCTATCTATCTATCTATCTATCTATCTATCTACCTAACTCAAATAAAGTGAACATATTAGGATGAGAAAGTAAATTCTTCCTTGGTAGAGTAGCTTGCTAATTTCCCCATCTTCCAGAGTGAGTGGTTTAAATTTTCATTATTTTTTTCCATTTATTTCATCCATTTACTGTCAATCCTAACTCCAATTTAACTCCATTTTCGAATTAGAGACCTAGAGAAGTCAATACTATTACTACAAATCATAGCATAAAGTTATAGTGCATATAGTTTGAGACAGAAGCTTGGGCACTGAATGCCAGTTTTATTTTAAATTTATATATATGAATTAGTTTCCTGGAGCAGCTTACATGGAGAAGGCACTTTTCTTTAGAAGAAACTGAATAGAAATAAAAGAGATTCTGAGAGAAAGAGGGCAGTGTAAAAAGAGAGGAATAAAACAAGCAAAGAAATATATGCTGAATATATTATTCCAGATGTCCTCTGGCTGATATGAAAAATCTGAATATCCCCATATAGTTGTCTGGAAAATAGCCAGGATCATGGTGTGATTCTAAGGAAGTACCTATGTGGTCTCATGAAGAGTTCCTTCAGAGGATGTCGGAAACTCAAGGGGAATGTGCCAGGGATTTCTTAGACATATATTTGTAGAGTGGTATTTACTTTAGAAATACTACTACAAGTCTAACTAAGATGGCTCAAAGTAACCTTTCCTATTTTCCATTGACTATTAGCTAACTATTGATTGAAAATAATTATGAAACTATTAATTTGCTGTATAAAAAAAAAGCAGAAGTACCTTGACATTTGTATTTTTCTTTCATAAACGTAGGACTACAAGTTCACTAGACAAACATTGTTTTCTCTCCTGTGATAAGATTCAATGTGTTTTAATTCCATTATTCCTCTAAATATGTTTTTTCTTCTTTCAAATATTACCTTTCCCCTCCCAAAAAAAAACCTCATTGTATTCACAAATCAGTAAGAGGAATTAACATAAGATGATATATTGCTGTCAGTAAAAAATATTTTGAGCATGAACCCCAATACGTGCACATTTAATTTTTTCTAAAGTACACATATACTATTGTACTATTGTATTAATGATTATGCATGTTATAAAATAGTAAAAAAAACCAACAGAAATTAAAACAGAATGAGATAAATATAAAATGATATTTAATTAGTCAATAGGAAATCACTGGAGTTAATTGTGCAGGGGAGCAACATAGTCAGACCTGCACTTCAGAAAAAAAAAATTACTTTTGCAGTTGTATGGAGGTTAAATTGGAGAAGGGAACAATTTGAGGCATGGATATCTATTAGGACACTGATTTACATAAAGATAATGAGTGACAGATAGAGTAAGGGTTTTATGAATTGAGTGAGGGGTACAGATACAAGAAATAAACTAGAAAATGACAACATTGGGCAACTGATTAGATCTTTTGGGTAAGGAAAAGTGAGGAGTTGAAGATGAAAATGAGGGTGCAAGCGTGTGTGACAGAAAATGGGGGTCTCAAAAGTAATAGGGAAGGTTGGAGAGGGTTGGATTTTGGTGAAAGGTAATGTAGAGGTTTGAAATGAAGATTGTACCTCATCAATGTCTTTGCTCAGTCTTTGCAAATCACTGTCTTACCTCAAATGAGAAGGGCTTGAGACAGAGGTCTTACTCATCAGTCATTGATTAGAGGATAGAAAACCACTAATACCACTCACAAGGAGTCATAACCAGAGGTGATCTGAAGAGCAGGAGCTGGGTTTATAGAGGAATTTTCCCAATCTCCCACTATAGTTTTGTGGGTACGTAAGTAATGGTTTGATTATAACTTCTCTTAGCAGTTGATATGCTCAAATTGGTAATTTTCATAGGAGAGGGAAAGGATAGACTTGAATATGGGAACATTGGGATACATGGGTTGATTTGTTTATGTTTGAAACAAGTCTCAAGATTGGCTATCATAGTCCATCTTCTACCCTCTGATTAGGTGACGAGATACCTTTTATGGTAATTCCGTGTAATTCCAAGCCCTCTCAATATAATGCTTTGGAGTCTGTATAGAAAAGAAATAATGTAGTTTACCTTTTTTATTTTCTTGTATTAGGACTTTCCCAAAGTCAAATGCATAGTAAATAATGGAGTAAATGACATAGTTACAGAGCAAATAATATAACAAATGACAGGGCTCAAACAGTTTTTATGAATGTAAAACTGGTATTTTCCATTATAAAATGCTGCTGTTCTAATAGCTACTATTCAGGGGTAGATAAATACAGACAGACAGACAGAAGTAGAAGATAAATAAATAGACAGAGAGACAGTTAGATAGATGGATAGATCTAGATAGATAAAACACTATGTGTGACTAAAACAGATAAAAAGGAATAAAAGGAGATCCTGTCCTCAAGGAGCTTACATTCTAATAAGGGATGACAATACATAAAGGGGTGCTAGAAAGTTAGGAGAAGAGATTAACTACTAATGGTCTTGGCAAGGAGATTTCAGGAAGGAGTAAGGATCTGAAGATCTTGTTCCTGACAAGAAAAGGTTAAAGGATCCACTGGGGTAGATGAGTTGAAGATGAGGGAGTTCAAGTTTCTTATGGTGTTGATTGTCAGATAGTGGAGCCATTGTGAGGAGACTGCATGGAGTGGCAATGGTTTAGGTCTGATTCCCTAATATCTATGGGATCAAACCATAGTTGGGGAAGGGGTAGTGGACTGTATCTGTCAGAAGGACCTACTTTGTTTACACTTTGAGGTGTGAAACAAATCAGAACAAAGAAATGAAATCATCATGCCTATAAGTTATTACTATAGAAATTTCTCAAAGCAAAACACACCTCATGTAATGAGATGACATTTGTAAAGCATTTCTAATATTAAGGCACTATATAAATGCTAGCTATCATTATTGTTATTATCATCATCACTTCATCTTAGAATCACACTATAGGCCTCAAATCTGTCCCAGAGCAAAGAGTAATAGATTCAGGATCTGAGTTCAAATTCCAACTTCACTTATAGTTTGATCCTCAGCACTTTAGATCTAAGCTTTCTGTGCCAGAGATGTGTCTTAGGAAAAAAAAATCAAACAAACAAACAAAATGTCTCTGTTTCTAGTACAACATTCTCTTCCCAGGAAGAGGTGTTTAATAAAGTCTTTGTTAAAAGAAGTCACATCCTCTCTAAGATGAGATTTCTCAGTCTGGAAAATGAAATGGATGGATTACATGATCTCTAAGTCTTTTGTTAAAATTCTAAATCCTCTTGTCTGACAGTCCAAAAGACATTAAAGAACTTAATGGAACAATATCTGACTGCACAGTACCACAGTGCCCCCTAACATACTTACAGTATACTTCACAAAGACCTTCACTAAAAATAAAATAAAATTAGATAAAATAAAATAAGGTATTTGGCTTAGAATAGGATCAGTAAAATATCTGCTTATTCTCTGAGCCAATTTGGCCTTGTACAGCTAACTACAATTATGATTATGCGAAGTAGAGAGGATGATGAATACTCATGTACTGAGCTTTTCCCAAGTGAAGAGGTAAGAAACTCTTCTCTCTAATATTAAGATAAATTGTGTAGAGACTTCCAGGCAAGATGGCAACATGAAAGTTCCTAGCTAAGACAAAACTCACTGATTAACACCCTAGCAAATATTTTAGAAATCACTAGATGAAGCAGTAATCAATAAAATCAAACAAAACGACAAAATTTGCAACTGACTGTATATGTGGCTGAAACTGAGGAACTGAGGTTGACAATGAGGTCATAAGCTTGTGTGACTGAAAAGATGGTCCTGGTCTTGACAATAATAGGAAATTTAGAGAAGGAGATCTGGAGAAGAAAGATGATTGATTCTCTTTTGGACATGTTGAATTTGAAATGCCAATTCAGATCAAGAAGTCCAAAGGAGAACTGGTGATGCTAGGTTGGAGATTAGGAAAATAGTAAAGACAAGGAAAAGAAATTGATAGAATAAGTATACATAAAAAGGAAACAAAATGATTAAATTTTAAGGCAATATGATAGTTGATTTAATGAATCACAAAGACTTAGCTAAAATTGATATAATTAACAGTTCAGTAAAGTACCAATATATATAAGTGTATATATATGTGCATGTATATATGCATATATGTGTATATTTATATATGTATGTATGTATGTGTGTGTGTGTGTGTGTGTGTATAAATACCCACAAAATTGTTAGTTTTCTTGTATATTACCATCAACCTAGTAGGGATGAAAAAGAAAAAAATGATTATATTCAAAATAACTGTAGACTGCATAAAATGTCTTATAGACCACTTGCCAAGACATACAATAATTATGTGAATGCAAATAGAAAACATTCACTAAAATGAGGAAAGATTTACATATGTGAGAAAGACTAATTGCTTATGTTTGGGCTGCTCAAATATGACAAAGTGGCAATATTACCAAAATTAATTTATAAATTTAATGTTATACAATCAAAATACCAAAGAGGTTTTTGTTTTTTGGAAATAGGCAAAATTATAACAAAATTAATCTGGAAGAACAAAATGAGATAATGAAATAAAGTAAGAATGAAGGGGACCTTAGATTTTGAATTATAATACAAATCTGTAATCATCAAAGCTATTCTATACTGGTTAAAAATGCAGATTGATCAATGGAATATATCAGGAAAACACAGCCCAGCAGCAATTGAACACAGTAACATAGTATTCCAGCACTCTCTTGATTCCACACAAAACATTCTGAAAGCTTGGAAATAGTTTCCCAGAGATTAGATTTAGACCAATATTTTTATCATATACTTCAGTTACCTTCTAATAATATATGACCTAACAATATGATCCCATAAAATAAACAAA